AGCGCCGTGGTGGGAAAAGCGCAGCAAGGGGGCCCCAGCTCACGCTGCTTTCTGGCCATGCCGCTCTGGGGCTGACCATACGCGGGATAGCATGGCTGGAAGAAGAGGCAGCGTGGGGACTGACCAAGGGTGGGGCTTGGGGTGGAGGGGTGGTTGTTCCATCCTTTCTCCGGGCAGGGGCAGGAGGAGGGGGACATGGCCAATGCTTCCCCCCGTCCCCAGAGCCCTCCTCACCAGTTGTCAACGCAGGTCACCCTCCTTGCTTCTGTCTCTCTCTCTGTCGAGTATAGATTGTGTTCCCCAGGCCATGTCTCCCCTGCCCCCAAGTTGTGACCAGGGGCAGAAGATTGGGGTGCAGGTTCTGGGCGGGGGTATAGGTTCAGGTGGGGGACAGAGGTTTTGGTTCATGTAGGATAAGATGGCAGGTGTGGAGGACAGAGGGTTGGGAGACAGAGGAGCTAAAGTACCTGGGTGACTCCTGGCCAGCAGCCCAGCATGTTTCTGAGGCAGCCTCCCTGCCTGCAGGGGCCATGCGCATGTGTGAATAACTACAAGCTGGAGGGGGGGGGGCATAGTGCTTTTCAAACACGTACCTCCCATTGGCCAGAAACCATCCAATGGGATTGTTCTGGGGGCGGGGGCATCTCAGGAAGCCTTTCTCCCCTCCCCTCTGGGTTCACAGTTCTGAAAGATAAGCAGCTGCAGCAGCCATTTTTCTAAGCCGCGTGTGAGCAGGGCGAGGCAAGCAAGGCGCCTGCTTGGGGCTCCCCACTGCGTTCGTGGGCCAGATACGGTGGCGAGGCAGGCCGGAACCGTGGGCTGTATTTTGCCCAGCCCTGTGCAAAAGCATCCCCTGAACAGCCATGATTGAGGATCCCAAACCAATTATGTGAACACACCTCTCATCCAGAGCTCTCCCGATGCTTCACAAAGGAACCTGAGCCTGGGGCAGGTGGTGCTGAGAAGGCAAATGCAGAATCGCATCAAGATCAATCTTATCCCCCCCAAGACTGGCATTCAGTTTGGCTAGTACAGCAGGGTGCAAACGACAGGGCCTTTTCTCCACTAAGATTTTGCAGCATGAGTGCTCTGTAGAGCTAGTGATCTCCCCTCCTGCCCTAGATCCCAACCCAAAACCTTGCCCCCCTTTCTGTACACCAATCCCCTGCCCTGGTCACAACCCAAACTCCTGCACCCCAGGTCACAACCCCTTCCTGTCCCAGGTCACAACTCAAGCCCCTGCACCTGGGTCCAGTGCCCTCGGTCACAACCTCCTCCTTCACCCAAACTGCCTCCCAGAACCCACAAACCCTCCTGCACCCTAATCCCTTACCCCAAGCTCCCTTCTGCCCCCAACCTCCATCCCAGACCCCACACTCCCTCCATTAATATCATGGAAGAGTGCGGCCCTTGACCAATTTCCAAAATCTTGGAGTGCCCCCCATCATAAATGATTGCCCACCCCTGCTTTTGCAGCTGTTCTCATTAAAGCAAGCAGAGCTTGTACTGAGCTGCCTAGTCTGCCCTTGTGTAATGATAGCTAGAAACCACAGCCGTCAGAGCCTGGTTTTAAGCGGCTGTCTGTGAGCAGTTGCGGTTCTCCATCTTCCAGTACAGCCTGCTGCAGTCGTCCCCTGCATCCTTTCGCAATAACAAGGCTGGACAAGGGAGCAGGGTGTTGCAAATTATGAATCAGGCACATGAGGATGTCACATGCCTGGCTTGAGGCCCCCTGTCAGAAGTGTGAAGAAGAGCCCAGAGCTGCTCCATTCCCAGATTGCATTTGGAGCGGCAGAGCTGCGTGCAAGGAAGCTTGCCTAGCAGCTGGCTGGAGCCAGCCCTGCTGTGAAAACAGAGAAAAATGGCAATTTTCCCGACATTTCGGGAGTTGCGAGACCTGCAGACAGGTTTGGGGTTTGATGCGCTGCTGCACAACATGCCTACTCCCTCCAGTGCACGATTGTTTTTAAACATGCTCAGGCTTTGATGATAATAATAATAATAACTCCTCGGTGTACAGAAGAGCCCTCCGTCTTGATTTGCCAGGCAATCTGAACTTGATAATTCCTCCTCCTATGAGTCCAGGAGAGCTCGCCTGGTTCTGATTGCTCATCAGCCGGCGAAGTCTTAAAGCGGCAAATGCATAAGATATACTGGCCCTGACTCATTTCCTTTCAGCGCTTGCAGAAAGTGTGGGAGGCAGCGGGTGGGCGGGCCTCCAGCTTATCAAGTAGAGTTGGTGGGGGATTTTCCGATGAAACATGGTTCTGTTTGATATTGGCTGAGCCCAAAGCCTTTTGCGGAAACGTATCAAGTTCGAGGAACTTTCAATGACCCACAGGCCGGTTCTAATGCAAACCTGCTGGGTTTCTTGGTAGCTCCCAGGCAGGTTGCTGAGGATCCTGGGTTTTGAGGTTATGTGGGTCTGGAACACGCCCTTGCTTCAGGAGTCAGTGTTTCCAGGTCAAACATTTGACAGAAATTCCATTTCATGGGAAATGTAGAGAATTCCTGCAAGGAGGCAATTCCGAGTTTCGGCAAGCTCCATTCGCCAACTCTTCCAGCATAATTCGGAGCAGTATAGCATCAGCTCTAGCTTACACTGGTAGGTGCCAGGCCACAAGAGCTCATATGCAG